CGGCCCGGCGGTTTCTGCCTGAGTCTGGGTACGAGCGCCTGGGAAGTCGAGGGAGCTTTCCGGTAGGGTTCGACCGCCCTGATTCACCTTGTTAAATGACTTTTAAAGAACCAGCGTAATCCTTCTGCTTCCAAAGCCAGGCTTAATGGACCCTTTACACTTTCCTTAAAGGCCAAACATATTTAAGGTCACGGATATCTTTGAAATCACATTTCTTCCTTCCCATCTTTTCCCTCCCTTCCCCTCCCCAATAAACAGCTCCACTTCCAGAGTTTACAAAATAAATAAATAAAATGAAAAGTCATTTCCCAGGAAGATTTTTTTCCTTTTAAAGTGCCCGGGTCCACACAAACCAAAAAGAAGAGAGAAACGATCAATCTTTTTCTCGAAAGACTTTTGACAGCTCGGCCTAACTCACTCAGCAAAGAAATTTGACTTTTGCAAGAGAGTTACTTAAGAAAGATTTTAAAAGTTTAATCCAACGGCCTGAATCCGGGAAGTCTAGAAAGTAAAAATTTCTGGGAGGGGAAAAAATAAGCTGCGTGCTGCAGAGCGGAGCGGTGGCTGGTTTGTAGTTTGCTTGTTCAAGCTCCATTTCTCCCATTTTGCAGCAGAGGGACTGGCAGGCTGCATTCACGCAGGGAGAAGCCTGGAAACTTTTGTCAGTCCAAGCATCCGTGTGGGTGGTACGGGCTTCTGAGAAACACAGAATAAAGCTAAAGCTGAAGCCGAGGCCGAAGCGCGGTTTAGCAAAGGGGCGAAGAAAATAAAAAAGCGTTTGCAAAACGCAGCTCAATTGAAGGGAGAAATTCCCGAAATATTTCCTATCTGTGAAGGCGCTTATTGAAATCAGCATAAACTACTCAATCTCGGCAGATCAGGGCTGATGTAAAGAATTAAAAGTCGAGTGTCCCATAATTTCTTGCTTGTTTGGATTAAAGTGGCGTTTTGGGGGTCTCGGGCTTTGTCATGAGGCTGCCGGCGCCTCCTTTTTGAGGGGCGGGGCGGTTCGCTGTGGAGCTGGGGTACGGTGGAAGAGTTTGGGGTGTAAAAGGAAACTCGTCCCAGCCTCTCCTTACTGTTCTCGCTTCCTTTGCTAACACTAAAGTTGCAGGGGGGGGGGAAGAAAAGAAAGAAAAAAGAACCTCTTGGGGAAGGAGGGATTTTTCCCACGCACCACGCGGAGGCACAAGGGGAAAAACCCCTCCCTGCTCCAGGGGAAAGGCATCACCTTGTACGAATAAATTCACAGGGTTAGCGAGCGGTGGAGAAATGCAGTAATTGTAAGGGAAATGCCGCCCTGCTTCTTTAATGCAAATTCAACCGTGGATGTGAGGAGCTGCAGGAGAGGCAGCCCAGCGAGAGGTGCCACGCTCTGAGCCTTGGAATGGGCTCCTTTTCCCCGATCTTCACCAGTTCCTGGGAATCCCTGACACAAACCCCAGCAACATGGCGACCGGGATGCGAAAAGGAAAATTCTATTCACT